TGAGCAAAAAAGCTCAAAAGGGGCTGGGAATGTGGCTCAGTAGCAGATTGCTTGCCCAGCATGCATGAAGGCCCTGGGTTTGATTCTCCAGTACCACATAAATATAAAAGGCCAGAAGTGGCGCTGTGGCTCAAGTGGTAGAGTGCTAGCCTTGAGCAAAGGAAGCTCAAGGACAGTGCCCAGGCCCTGAGTTCAAATCCTAGGAATGGCAAAAAACAAAAAAAAAACCCCAAAACTTGAAAAGACAGTATATGGGCCCCGAGTTCAAGCCCCACCACTAACACAAAAAATAAAAATGTAAAAAGAAATTGGTAATTGCATAAAGTTTGTTATTGCCACTTGAATATTGAACTCAAAGTGCTGCTTTTCAGACTTCAGCATCTTTAGTAGATCTAATTCCGTGTGTGTGCTCAAGCAGTTTGCGTCTGATCACTGATGCAAAACCAAAGATACCATGTTGATATTTTGGACAGTCTGACAGTAGCAGTAGGAGCTCCTTAGTAGTAATGGAATCATGAGTTTCAGAATATATTCTTTGCATTCTGAAGCCCTGCTCACAAGTCACTGTCCTTTTCCTCCACTTTATTTGTAAGTAGCAATGATGGAGAAGCTACTGCAGTGCTGAATGAGGGAAGATCCGCTCTTTCTTCAAGGGCCATGACTGGATTGCAAAGGAATTGTGTTTACAAAGGTGGAGGCACTTCCTCCTTTTTGTCACTTAGTAGCCAAAGTTGTTTTTAAATAAATGATGCATGAAATCACCTGATGAGAAGTAATTTGTTCTGTAGTTGTAGAAATGTCTTCCCTTTTTTCCTGTATTCCAAGAAAAAAATATATGGAAGATTAATGATTATATTCATGAGTAACTCACTGAACTTCGAATTTTCTACACTGGCAATGTGATTTAATAACCTAATACCTTGATCTCTAATGATATTAAAATGGTATTAAAAGCAGTGGCTTTTTTCAACACTAGATAAATTGGAGTGGATAGCTCATAGCCTAGGAGTCAATATAATCATGAGAGTTTATCCACTAACTAGCTATATAGATGAGGGTAAGTGACTTGAATTTTCTGAGCTTTAGGAGAGATTAAAAATATGCTTGCTTGGTGTCTTTTTTTTATTGTGAAAATACTATACAGAAGAGTTATAATCACATGAACAAGGTAATGAGTACATTTCTTTTTTTTACATTTAAAAAAAATTATTATTATGGTGAAAATACCATACAGAGGGGTTACAATTACATGGGCAAGATAGTGACTACATTTCTTATCAAGCATTGTTGCCTCCTCCTTTGTTTCCCCATACCATACCATCCCTTCCCCTCTCCACTCCCCACCTCCACACCCTCTACCCCGCCAAAGTTGTAAAGTTCATTTTTCGAAATAGCATCTTGTACATGCAATGGGTCAACCTGTATCCCTATTTAAACAATTTGTTTTTTTTCCCTTCCACTCCCCAAATTATACCAACATTAGATACAGTGAAAATAGGTTATACCATGGGGGAGGAACATACAAAACAACAAAAAAAATCACATGGTACCTTATATATACGTTAGAAACAATAGCAAGAAAGAAAAAAACATTTGAGTCCTTATCTTGAGGTTCATTTTGCTTTAACATCATCTTATCTACCTTTTCTGCTTGTCTCATATATATACTACTTATTGCAAATGAGGGAAACCATGGGACCTATGTTTCTTTGGGTCTGGCTTACTTCACTTAATATAATTTTCTCCAAGTCTTTCCATTTTCTAACAAATGGGGCAATGTCATTCTTTCTGATGGAGGCATAGAATTCCATTGTGTATATATACCACATTTTCTTGATCCATTCATCTACTGAGGGGCATCTGGGTTGGTTCCATATCTTAGCTATGGTAAATAATGCTGCAATAAACATAGTTGTCCTGGTAGCTTTAGTATGGTCTTGTTTGTGATCATTTGGGTAAATGCCCAAATGTGGGATTGCTGGGTCTTAGGGGAGCTCTATGTGGAGTCTTTTGAGGAACTTCCATATTACTTTCTAAGTGGTTGAACAAGTTTACACTCCCACCAATAATGCAGTAGGGTTCCGTTCTGTCCACATCCCCTCCAGCATCTGTTATTATTAGAGTTCTTGAGTATAGCCACTGAGGTGGTATCTCAGTGTTGTTTTGATTTGCATTTCTTTTATGGCTAGAGAAGTTGAGCATTTCTTTATGTGTCTCTTAGCCATTCTTATTTCCTCTTCAGAGAAGTTTCTCTTTAAGTCTTTAGCCCACTTATTTATTGGGCAGTTGTTTCTTTGAGGATTTGTTGTTGGGGGATTTAGTTTTTTGAGTTCCAGGTTTATTTTAGATATGAGACTCTTGTCTGTTGCATGGCTAGTGAAGATCTTCTCCCAACCCATGGGCTTTCTATTGATCTTCCTAGCTATGTCCTTTGCCATACAGAAGCTCTGCAACTTCATGCAATCCCATTTGTCCAACCTTTCTATGATGTGTTATGTTTCTGGGTCTCTATTAAGAAAATTTTGGCCTGTACCAAGGAGACCTAGGGTTTCTCCTTTGCTTGGTGTCTTATTGGGCTCTAATAAGAAACAAATGAGGTGGTGTATGTGCTAGGGCTTTGTGTCATAGAGCAGTCAGTCCTCACAGAAGACAGAAAAGATATAAAACATGTATTAGTACTGTTGTCTATATGGTGTTCGTAGTATATATGTAAACAGAACTTGTAAGGTTGACTTTTTCCCAATTATCACAAGGAATGAACTCTTAAAGTGTAGCTGCAAATATAGATTTTATTGGAAGCAGGAAATTAAAGTGGTGAAGATTGTTTTTCCTCCACTGCATATAAATAATAGAGTACAAATTAGAAAATACCTAGTTGTTCTTTGTATGTTCTAGAAGAATATTTTTCTAGAAGAATATTTTTCTAGGCATTCATTCTTCATTTGAGTATAGGAAAGAAAATCAAAACATTCTGTAAATACTATCACGCAATGGATGTATCTCCTGGGGAAAAATGTATTTAATTTTATTTGTTAGAACCAAAAGTCAAATGCTCAGTTTCCTACAGTAGAGGCATAGTCTGAGGCATATGTGGTTTGGGTTTGATGACATACTTTCTACAGGTCTTATTATTACACAACTTTCTGCAAATGTGTTTTTTGCTTGTTTTTCAATAACTTAAATCCAGATGCACTTGTTAACCCCTTGAAAGTGACCGTTTTAATGAAAAGATAAAATAGGGTTCATGAGCTAACAATTTTATTTCTTTTTTAATTTTTATTATTGTGAAAATACCGTACAGAGGGGTTACAATTACATGGGCAAGGTAATGAGTACATTTCTTATCAAGCATGGCTGCCTCCTCCTTTGTTTCCCCTTCACATCCAACAAAAGAATAGATATAAGAAGTACTTACAGTTCCACTAAATACCAGCAAGCACACTTTTCTCCAACTGGCACCTACAATAGCCATGTTCATGGGTAAACTGTTAACACTAGGGTCTTGATTTAGATTCTGGGCAGCAAAATCAAAGTCTGGTAAGAGCCAGACTAATGAGAACCACATTAATCCCTCCTTGTAGCCTTTCCTCATTCATTTGTGTGTGTGTGTGTGTGTGTGTGTGTGTGTGTGTGTGTGTGTGTGTGTGTGTGTGTGTCCTGTCCTCTTTAGAGTCTCTCCCCCTACCCTTCCCTGCACTAAGGCTTAAACTCAGGGCCTTGAGCTTGCTAGACAAGTACTCCACTTGAGCCATGTTCCTAGGCTTTTTAAATTTTAGCTATTTAGTTATTTTTTTCAGACAAGTTTTCTTGCTTTTTGAGATCCCTTACCTACATCTCCCACGGAGACATCTATAATCTGGGATTACAATACGTGTACAACCAACCTTACTAAAATCCCTGACTTATTTGTTGAGATAAAGTATTATTATTTTCCTGGCTAGCCTTGAACTGTGCTGATTTCTGTCTCCTAAGTAGCAGGGATTATAGGTATGTACCATCAAACAGGCCTTCATGAAGTCTTTTTATTTAAAGATTTCATTAAACATTTTCTCATGGAAAACTAATTTTGTTTCTGGTAGGAAGAGAAGATATCTGAAAAAAAAAAGAGACAAGACAGAGGCATAGACAAACTTAAAATGTAAACATAGAAGTTAAGGAAAATTTTATCCTGCTCAATCCATATGCTACTAATGTTAAGTACTTGTGGTTGTTTAACTTCCTCGCAGTTTGTGTAGATAGACCTTGTTTTCTTTCCTCGGCTACTTTAAGTTAGGTAGGGTTAAATTTTTTCCTATAAGCTTTCTACAAGCTTCAGAAAGGAACAGATTAGATATTCAGAAACTGTTTTGTCAGAAAAGGAAATATTAAGACCAAAGTGGTATGGCTTGTTAAGATTCACTCAAGCTACCTGCACTTGACTCTGACAATCTGTTTTCATCCTTAGGGTTTTTAAGATCACCCTATTTTGATTCACTCTCCACTTGTATGATCATCGGACACCCCAAAATCCATTCATAGAAACAAATCAAATTTATGTTTTTTTTCTGTGTGTCATGACATATACCTGTACTCATACCTGCCCAGGAGACAGGAGTGGGAGGATCATGTGTTAGAGGCCAACTAGGCAAAGCAGTGAGATTATTTTTAAAGAAAAACAGGAATAGAAGGCTAAGATGGCCCAAGTTGGGGAGAACTTCCTATAATGCCAAAGCCTGTAGTTCAGTCCACAAAACAGAAAAAGAAAAAAAAAGTGCTGTTAATAATTGCGTTGGAGGATAATTGCATTGTGACCTTGGTCATTTTTAATTTTGGATTGTTCATTTAGGACTTGTATATTACTCTTATTATTCATTCCTGTGTCAGTTAGACTGTAATGGCTGTAGCCCCTCACTTGGTGTTACTGATAACTTTTGAGATTTTGCTCCCAGTGTCTGTGGTCTCTTTGTCAATCCTCTCCCAAAGGTTCTCTGTCTGATGATTTTGTAATATTCTTTCCTTAGACTTGAATGAAGCAGTACCAGAAACAGAGCGCCTGGATTCAAAGGCATTGAAAACTCGAGCCCAGCTCTCTGTGAAGAACAGGCGTCAGAGGCCCACTCGGACACGGCTATATGACAGTGTCAGTTCAACAGATGGAGAGGACAGCCTAGAAAGGAAGGTGGGCATCCTGGGCTGTTTCAGACCTGTGTGGGTGTACTGTTGTTCCTATAGCCTGCTGAAAATAGTGGTTACTTTGCAACCAGACTTTGTGCCCTAGTTGGAAACAGCTAGGATAGTTCTTGTCTTTGTCTCTTGAGTTTTTATGCAACTTGCTATATTTGTAATTACAGTCTGTCCTCTATTTACTCAACTAGCCAAGAACAGTATCCACATAGTCATATTTAATAATGGCATTTACAGCATTCAGCTCTTGGTTTGACTTAATGGGAAAGAATGCCTGCAGAAGTTAATGTTTTTATGTGTCTTAGATATCGGCTTTAGCTCCAATGTTAATATGGCTGATAGCTATGAGCCATGCATTCTCTTCAGTAAACCAACAAACAGAAAGTCCTTTTCTTGGGATTCATTAAAAACAAAGGTCAGTTTTATTTCAAAGTAAGTATGTCGGCAGAACCGGTACTCAGTGGCATAACCTCCTTTATAATCTCTTATATCAACAGCCGTCAAAGAGTCTTTATAATCACATGCATGTTACCAAACCACTTCTGCCCAAGGGTCTGAGAACTTCTTCTCCAGAATCAGATTCTGGGGTTCCATCCCTCACCCCAGTGGCTAGTCGTGTTTCCTCGTCTGACCGCATAGATGAGTTGCAAGAAGGACCACTGTACCCAGAAAGGGGGTCTTCCCCCTTTGTCTGGGGAGACACTTCACTCTCCTCTGCTACAAAATCTGATCAAGAGATGGAAGAATCTCCTTGCCACTATCAAGCTACTACCCAGAAAATACAAGAAAAAGGTATTGGTCATTTTTATTGTCATTCTTATTTGCGTTGTCTGTTTTAACACCACCATTTATGTGATATAGACATACAATCATAAATCTTTTGTCTTCTCAGAACAAATATTGTTTCTTTTTATCTTCAGGATAAAAGAATCCCATTCCATGTTTTTTTAGGTTATCATCTTGTCCTGTAAGTTTAGTATTTTTATCTCTTTATCTCTCCACAGTTTACTATTGAAGGAAATTCTTTGGTTGATCATCTAAAAATTTTGGTAAAACATAACCTAAAGTTTTGATATAAACATTAGTGTAATCACATAGGAAAAATATGAAAGTTAAAGTGGTGCAAACCCATTACCCTTTAACTGATTTTTATTTACAATAAATTTTTACAATACTGATTTCTATTGCAGAGTGTAATGGTAGCAAAGTTGATTAAATTTTAAAATAAATTCCTAGAATTACACTAGAGTTTCTTAAGAGTGTTGACAGAACTTTGCCTTTTAATTAAATATTTTAATTTATAGACACAATAAATTTGTGTTTAAATTAACTATACAAAACCGTACGAAGTCAGACTACAGTTTCCCCGTCCCCCACAGCTGATATGTTCCTTTAAAGTAACCAGAGATATTTGCTTATATTGTCATTCCTATCTGAAATTAAATTTATGCACATACACATGTACACATGAGTACACAAAAAAATCATTGGTATATGTTTGTTTTGATCTTATATACTCATCTTTTACAAAAATGAACTCCCTTTAATTACCTTACTCTGTCACTTTGTTTTATACATAATATTTTGTTCACATCCATCTGTGGAAATATATACAAACTTAAATGGCAGTGTGTATATTTGTATATACCTAAGAGAAATCATAAGCTGGTCTACTAAAAATTATTTGTAGGAGTACTCATAGGAATCCTGTTATATAAGATCAGAACCAGTAAAAATGGATATATGAATTGCAATATATACATATAATCAGTTTGTGCAGAGGGACAATGGAAAAACTACACTAAACAATAAGGGTAAATCTCTGGAGAAAGACATTGACAGTGTAAAAGAAAATCCAGAAGAATATATATGACTCTATTTTCCCCTACATTTTTATTTATCAATTACTTGTACAAGGGGGGTTCATTTTGATATGTCCACGTATGTATACAATGTGTGCATATGTATATATATCATATTCACTTTCTTCATCACTTTTCCTTATCCCCTCCTCCACAAACCAATCCCCACAAGCTTCATTGTTCTATTTTTATCCAAGCACATCAAGCATTTTGACCGTATTTATCCTCCTTCATCCACTTTCTCCTTCCCCTTTCCCACTAATACCTACACTCATGGATAGGACCTATTTACACTCTTATTATTCATTTTTAAGTATATGTTAATTGTTAAAAAGACGTTTCATTGTTTTATCATGGTATTTCCATTGTTTTGATAAGGTTCCAGCCTTGAAGAGTCCCTCTGATTTCTTAGTTCATTTGTAATTAGTGCATTTACTCGTGTGTTTATTCAGTAGATGCTGAGCATACATTCTCTGTCTAGCTATGTGCTAAGTAATGTCAGATTCTATCTTTTCCCTCCAAGAGTTTGCAAACCAAGTCTGTCTGTATGTCTGTCTGCCATCACTGGCCTGTCTCTCCTCACTCTACTTCTATTCTCATTTGTTTTTGTTTTTTCTGTTAGTCCTGGGGCTTGAACCAGGATCTAGGGTTTGTCCCTGAGTGTCTTTGTGCTCACGACTACCACTCTACCACTTGACCCACAGTGCCATTTCTGATTTTTCTGAGTAGTTTATCAGGGAGAAGAGTCTCATGGACTCCCCTGCCTGAGCTGACTTTGAACTGTGGTCCTAAGAACTAAGTCTCCTGAGTAGCTAGGATTACAGGCATGAGCCACTAGTACCTGGCTTATTCTCATATTTCTTCCTTGATTATTTGGTAGCAGACCTTGACTCTCCATTATGCTGTGATCAAGAACAACTAGGAAGGCAATGGTTCTTTGACCTTCCATTCTCAGGTTCTGAAGTTGAAGAGTGAGATCTATCACATTAAACTCTGGGTGCCTTGAGGAGCTATGGGTTTGACTCCCAATCCTCTAAACCCAACATCTCAATAATATATTTAATCACATTTTTAACTCTTTTCTTTTTTCGTACTAGGGATCAAACCTAGAGTGTTGTACATACTGAACTTGCTAGGCAAGCACTTTGTCAATAAGCTACATCTTATCCCTGTTCCCACATTTACTCAAGCTTTGAGTGATGGTTTCATATGGCTCAAAAGTTGAAAACACTAATTTCTGAACCAGAATAAAATGAATTTTCTGATTTACTTCGGGAGGTCACCTGACATAATAACCATCATTCTTCACTTGTTCCATTCTCTCTCTTTTGGTTGGTAGGTTCATAAATCAGAAAGTTGCTCAGTGAGCATAAAATTAGAATCCAGTTAACTGGATGTGTACATAGAATATGACAAATTGCCATTTCACGGAAGGCCTACCAACACCACCACTCTTTCACGATCCCCAAGCTCTCCTTCCCAGATTCCAATCAACAGCCCCTCAGTGTCATTTGAGATGGCAGTGTGCTCTTTTTATGGTGTTCCATAGGCTGTTAGGACATAGGTTAACAGAGTGAGATTTACCTCCAGTTTTCTCAAAATCCAGAGAATAAGGTTCTGTGAAAACCCTTCCATTCCTGGAACTCAGGTTTATATTCTCATCTAACCTGTACTCCTGGAAAATACCAATCTTTCTTCAAGACCCAGTCTCATCCACTGAATGAGGCCTTAGGCTTACCCACTCCATTTCCGGTTGGAGTGAATTATTCTCTTCTGTCTGACTTCCAAGCAGTTTTCTTCGTTAACTCTTCTCTTTGTTGTTATATACATGAGACCTAGTTGTCACATATAAGCCAAAGTTTTCTCCCCTATCATATTAGTCTTTATCTTCTTGGTTGCTCACAAAGGGCATGGTATACAATTGATGCTCAATAATTCTCTGGATGAATTACTAAGTATGTTTCTCTAGATAACTAAATGCATTGCTTGAGAAGGGAAGGTCATCAACCAATCCCAGTGGTCACTTATTTTTCTAATGTCATGTATTGCAGTGTGGCCATTTGTTACCCAGGTTTGCTTGCATGCTACAATGGCAAGTTGAGTGATTGTAGCTGAAATCATACATCTGAACAATCTAAAGTATTTCCTTTGTTGTTGTTGTTGTTGTTGTTGGTCGTGGGGCTTGAACTCTGGGCCTGGGCACTGTCCCTCAGCTCTTCAGCTCAAGGCAAGCACTCTACCACTTGAGCCATAGCACCACTTCTGGTTTTCTGAGTGGTTTATTTGAGATAAGAGACTCACAGACTTTTCTGCCTGAGCTGGCTTTGAACCACCATCCTCAGATCTCATCCTTCTGAGTAGCTAGGATTACAAGCGTGAGCCACCAGCACCACGCTGAAGTATTTCCTTTCTGACCCATTATACAATAAAGCTTCTATTTCTGGTCTGGAAGTATATATACTCTGAAAAGTGCTTAGTCACTGGCTGTCATTTGTGTGTGTGTGTGTGTGTGTGTGTGTGTGTGTGTGTGTACATATATATATATATATATATATATATACATATATACATATACTAAGGATTTTTTAAAGATTATCTTCAAGCAGTTGTAATTGGGAGAAGGTTCTAAGTTGTATACATACCACATTTCCAAGAGATTGTTTTATCTCATATTTGAGAGATCATAGTAGAATCTGTGATGGGAGAAGTCCTAATTACTAGCTCAGTGATAAGCCTCTCACTAACTGCCCGTTCAACTTCTCACTAAATGCCAATTAAACTAAAGGAACTATTTGTCCATAGGTTTATAAAACAGGATTTTATGACAATAGAGTACACTCCATATGCCTGTTGTTTGATCAGCCTAATACTAAAAACTAAAGTTTTTATCTCTAGACTTAGATAGCAATGAACCTCTTTTGGTCAACACTAGAGTAAATTAAGAGCTATCAGATTTTGGGCTGAAAAAAACCCACCTTATTAATTGGAGTTTCTGTGTGGTTATTAACACATTGCCTGGTACAGAGCCTGTATTCAGAATAATCACTGAATTAATATTATGATAAAGGGAAACTATCTTTCTAAGGGCTTCACAGAATTCATGCCTTATTCATTGTTGCACTAGGCCTCTATAAGTAAAGATCGGATAAACCTATGTTATTGCCCAGAGGAAAGAGATTGCATCCATCTGAAATTGGTAGGCAGATTTGATAAAGGAAGCACAACTAAAGTGACCATCACAGAACTTCAAAAAGAAAAAGCAATGGAGAGAGGGAAAGGAAGGAAGGAAGGAAGGAAGGAAGGAAGGAAGGAAGGAAGGAAGGAAAGAAGGAAGGAAGGAAAAGAAAGGAGAAAGGGAGGAAGACTGCATGTGAGGTGTAGTGATACTGTGAGCCAACACAGGAACACTTCATATACATTTAAAGAAATGGGGCTATACTAGCTGGATAAAGCAGTTCATTTGTGCAAAATAGTCATCTCAACTAAAAGCAAAGAAGTAGGTCCAGTCTGTAATTCTGGAATTTAAATATTTTAGGTAACACTCTCTCTTTCTAGGAAGCCATAGATTGTTTCGAGCAGAGAATAAAGAGGAACAGATAGAGGTGTGGGGAAGCTGAGTGAGAAGACTTGTGCTTAGTGACTCCCTATGAAGATGTGCCAAAGATAATGACAGGGCTGAAGGATAAAAGAACCCTTGATGTGTAAATTGAGAAACCAACAGGAGGAAGCAAGTGAACAAAACTAGTCACTGAAGGCTGGACTTGTGGCTCAAGTGCTAGAGCCACTTGCCTGTCTAGTAAGCCCAAATCCTAGACTTCAATCTCCAGTATCCCCAAATAAATACATAAATAAAAAGAAAAATAACAACAGTCATGGAGTTTATAAGCCTCAGAAGATGTGGTTTCTCATTAATAGAAAGTATGGAGACCTTAGGGGAAAATATGGTTAACTTTTTCTTAAACAGAGAGGACTTTATACTCAGGAGAAAATTCATAGGAGCTTCCATATCATGAAGTAAAGGACACCCAGTGTCCCATTGAAATTAAGATTAAGGAGAATGAAGCCCAACACTAGAATTTACCTATCAGGAGATCTCCTGTTACCTTTGAAAATGGAGGCTAGGTTTAGCTTAGAGCTGATGTACTCAGTGTGGGAGCTCAGACTTTTATTAGTCACAGAATGAGTATTGGAGCGATTTCAAAAAGCCTAATGGAAGCCCTACCTACAACTAAACAAATAAACAAGCATGAGATCTTTCCTTTTTTTTCCCCTGGCATCATACAAACACAATGTTTTCCCTCTCAGATTAGAAAGATAGATTTGCTTGATTTAAAATGGGTGGTACATTATTCCCTAATTTTACTACTTCAGCCTTATTGAAACATTTATTTCCATATGTTTCCAAATGTGCTCCTTGGAACACACTTTGACAAATGTGTGAGATAATGATGTGAGGTTGCCTAGCAGCAGGCATTGTGATGAGTAGAATCAGGCTTTTAGTCGTGAGATGTTCAAATAACTACAACACTAATAGGTTACAGAGTGGTGGGTTTTTTTTGTGTGTGTGTGCATTGTCTCAGCTGGTCTTATACTCATTAGAGCATCTCCCAGCTACCTCTAATTCAGAAAATAATTAGGTAGTCTCCTTTTAACTTTGCACAGTCCTGGCCATTAAGAGTTGCTTTAGGATTGATTTGGAAGAATTCAGCACTTTTCTTTTCTTTGGGTCCTGTTTAGAAAATTGAAATCCTGCTTTTGGGGGAAAAAAGTCCATTAACAAGATCACCCTAGGACACATCTATGCCATATCTATGGATTATTTTTATGTGCCTGTGTCATATCTGTGACCATCTAATTCTGTCACTCACGGAATAATGATGCAAATGTCCATAATAAACATTTGAGGCAAGGAGTGGTTTTTGATGCATATTTCCTATTCTTTTATTTCATTACATACATTTAAGGATTTATTTTAATCTGAGTACCTTTAACTACAATGGTAGCATATAACTAAGTCCTTGGAGAATTTCAATTGGTTATGCAGCTAGACTCCTCAGCAAGAACTTGTGTGTGAACTTACTTTTCTGTTATTGTGGGGATCTTTTACTTGCTGGGCTAGCAACTGCCACTCAAGCCACACCTCTAGCTCAGCTTTTTGCTCATTATTTTGTTTTCATTTTTAAAAATTATCTTTAAGTATCTGTACAAAAGAATTTCCATTTAACACAACAGTTTGTTAATAACAGTAAACCTTGATCAGTGTCACCCCTTTCAACATGCTCAACCAACTTTCCTAACCCAGCCCTTCCCTCACTTAATTTTTCAGGGTATGTATTGATTTCGGGAGGGAGGTCTGTGTATACAATGCATTTTGATCTGTGTCATCCCTTCAACATTTAACCCCCTTTGAACTCACCCCTCCCCTTATTTTTCTGAATTTTGTGATATCTACAATGAATTCTCGACTATATCCTTTCTCCTTCCCCCTTCCTTTGTCTGCCCATCTCCCCTTGGCTACACTGCCCCAGAGTCTGGTGAACTTTTCTACCAGGGCTAGTGTAGACTTTAATCCTTCAGATCTCAGTAGTTACAACTGGAGCCCAGCAAAATTTCATATTCTCTATGGATGTGTGTTGAAGTAAACAAATACAAAAGCAGCATTAACCTGTGAGATTAAGTAAGTACTCTCTTAGCAGGTCTGTTCTTAGCATTCTGTGCCAATGTTGCCAGAATTTTTTTAAGAGAAAAAAATTTCATTGTGGTAATTTCTTGTTCTTTTATTTTTGAAATAGCATACATTTGTAATAGGAGTTCTTCTGACTTAGTCACCACAGTGACATCAAACCCCATTCCCAAAACCTTATTCTTTTTTGGAATTGTTTTAAGTATTATTATCTGCTAGCATCTGCAGTCATTTAAAATGCCAGTACAGCTTAGGGAAACAAAAATCAGGTAGCTCTAAACCCTGAGGGATTTCAAGACTGAAGGATTTGGGTGCCTTCCACATCACAGCAGGACAACAAGCCTGTCCTAGAGCCCAGTGATCAAGAAAGGTAGCCCATGCCTGCAATGCTAGCTATTCAGGAAACTTAGATCTGGAGGATCACAGTTTATAGCCAGCCAAGGCAGAAAAATCTGTACAATTTTCTCTCTAAAGTAACCTGAAAGAAAACAACAACAACAACAAAACAGGGCTGTAGGCAAAGCCCAAGTGGTAGAGTATCAGCTGAGCAATAACAAGACCCTGAGTTCAAACCTCCCCTCTTTTCCCCGTACCTCCAAAGAGAGGGAAAAAAAAGACCTTTCAAAGATACAAATACGTTGATATTTTGTAGCTGAGCTCTTTCTTAAGATGTCTCTTCCATGTCCTACTCTCCCCTCTCCCAGAACTGGTCAGAGCAACTAGCAAGGGGAAACTCAAAAGGAAAACTTTGACTCATAGTTTCTCCCTCAGTCTCCTTGACTTTGAGTGGAAGTTCTCTCTCTGCTGGGCTTAAGAGATCCAGAGCTGGGTTTCCTTGAAAGCCATGAAAACCCAAAAGCAAGAAAGGAAAGACAGAGTCCAGGCACTTGAAAGCCAGGAGGTGAATCATCTCCTTTTAATTTATTTTTTTTCCTTCTCTCCTAAATGAATGTTTAGGAAATAGAGCACATTTTTATTTATTTTTATTTATTTATGTATTTTGCCGGGCAGCTCCTCTTCTTGGGTCATGCTAAGCAACTCCTTTTATTGATGAGCATTGAGCCTCTTTTCTCCAGAACCTTTCCAGCCTGAGTGACTCTTCCTCAACATGTTTCCTATGACTTGTAGACAAGCAAGGCATTTAACATCCTTTTGTACTCATAGTTTAGGCAAACACCATAGATTCATAGGTGCACTTTTTAAATTTAAATTCAGAGCTCTAAAAATATAGTAATTTGCATTTTTCATATATGTCTATATCCTAGATGATGCTAAAAGCCCCAAATCACTAATGGCATCCAATTTGTTGGTGGTGCAAGGAGGAAAAATTAAGCGGAAGTTTGTAGATCTGGGGTAAGTACTTCATGGTGTAAAAAGCAAACCCTGTAAGGAAGAGGAAAAATTCAACTTCTTCTTTCTGACTATCTGCTGTCATTATAGGGCAACTTTATGAAGGAATTCCAACAAGGGAAAGAAATGGAAAGAAAAAGAAGCCAGTAGTTTTTAGCAGGTAGCAGGTATAGGTGGGTGACTGAGAACATAAAGTTATTCCCAAACTGTCTGGTCTTCCTTTTCCAATGTTCACCAAGTATCAGTGGTCAGTATTTCTGTGCAGCAGTGATATGCCTAGAATAAGATGAAAGAAAATTGTATATATGGCATTACTTGTAGCCTATATCTGGACTTAGTCATAGGCATTTGCTCTGAATCAGATCGCTGCTGAATTAGGTCACATGAACAGATTCAACAAATTCAATATTTATAAATACAAATTTAAAGTCTAGCTGATATTTTAAAAATACTCAGACATTTTGCTTGACTACCCACAATGCTTTTGCATCCTCTTTTCATTAAAATAAAGAAGATAATTTTGAAGTTAAATTCCTGGTAACTAAGAAGGTTCTGTCTATATCCATTTAAGAATGACTACCATGTCTTGCTGGCTTGGCTATATGCTGCTGTTGCTAGCACTATCAAATGTGCTTCCCTTTTAGTAAAGAGTTTCCCATAGGGAAAGGACCTTTGACGAGCATGTTGACAAGTTTTTCCAATTTTATTGTAAGATTACATCACCTTAATGTTTTGTGGATGTAGACAGAGTAAAGTATAAATCCCTGAAGTCCATTTGCCTGGTTTGCCTTGTAGCTTTCCAACTTTTAAATGTTGAACAAGCTAGTTCACCCTCCTGGACTCTTTTATCTTATGTAAAATGAGAGTAATCTTAAGATCTACCTTATAAAATTAGTGTAGGGTCTATGTAAGTTTTCATGCAAAGTATTTTTAAATGGTACTTGGTATTCAAAACTAATAATAATGACAGTAGTTGGCAGCATTATTATTAACAGTTTCAGAACAGTTTTGTATTTGCCATTTCATATGATCTTTGTAAGATTGCAGTGACAGGTAGTACTATACTTTTATTGAGGAAGAACTTTATCTTCATAAAATGTAATTGATTCACTCTGGGCCATGTAGCTTGGAGATTCACTGATGTAGCTATGTCAGAATGGAGCTGTGTCCCTTTTCAGATGTTTATCCAACACACCACATCAGTACCATTTATGTAAGTATCTAGTAACACATTTCTTTACATTTGGCATTCATCTCAATATTTTTCTCAATATTATAAGCTAAGAAAGAAACACCCATTCCTAAAAAATTGTAAAATCATTTGAACATCAGGGATCTACCTTGTAGGGCTTTTTTACCTGCTTCTTTCCTGACAATTTAAATTTTGGCAAGAAATTATACCTTCCGTTGCATTACTGGAGAGTAGAATTTCCACATTATTTACTTTTGTTGGTGTTACCTTTGTACCTTTTTTACTTTTATCCTTCACAATGGAGAAAGCCTGCATTATACTGAAAGAATTTTAGGGAAAATAAAGTAAATCTGAGGCCATGAGCAGTATTTCAGCATAGAAACTATAACACCTATTTTGTGCCTTGTAATACTCATAACTGTCCAACATAATACAGTAGGAAAATAAGGAAGCCATTTAAGGGAGAGAGCAGGAGCTGCACAAATACACAGTGGGCAAGAAACTAAGACACCTCTGAAATGACACTGTTGTGTGTCTCCCCTCCCCCCAGCAAAGACAAGGTCAGGAGTCAGGGCCTCTCACCTTTAAGGCTTCCCCTAACCGAGGTGTGAACATGGTAACTTGCAGGGAGCAGGCTGTTGGCTGAATCCCATGTAAAAGCCAAGCACATCTGGAAAGTGTTGGTTCATACTTTTTGTACTATAAGCAGAGCCACAAAGAGTGGAGGGTGGCTGTCACCACAGCTGAAGTCCTGTGCTTGCTCCATTGCCTAACCAGGTAAACCTTTGTAAAACATTTCCCATTTCCATAGTTATCAATCATTTCATATGTGCCAGTGCTACAAAATAGTTGGCAATTATAATCATGATTTTATAATTATATATAATTACGGTCCAATTGTGTCAAGATGGTAAGGAGTTCATATAATTGAAATTGAACAAGACAAAACTTTCTCTGTTTCAAAAATAATCATTGTTGAGCTCTCAGAATAATTGGGTAACACTAATCAAACCTAATGACAGCTTTTGTCCTCCTATATGGTCGATAATGGACTCAGAACCTTCTGAAACATATTCCCGGAACAACAGCATTACCACCCTGTAGGAGCTTAATGCCATTGAGTTGGTGTCTGCAGGTGGGGAACACAGCCTAATCAACCAAAGCTGAAGTCACACTGCAGTTGCAGAAATGAGCCAGGAACGGACTCCTCACCCCTATGCATCTTCCTCAGAAAAAGGAGACAAGGATTCACAAATTGAGTTAATAATTGTATCTCAGGCTTTACCTTCAGTTCTTCTTAGATTGTTAATATCTATTGAGATCCTAGTCAGTTATAACCTGTAGCTGCTAAATCTTAAAGAGAGACTTTGGTAAAAATTGATTTCAGTTTTTATCTCCCCAGAGAGTAGAATTTACTCTATCCTGTTCCTTGTGGCAACATAATGACTCAGATACATAACCAGCATGAGTCAGATAAAGAAAATGGATGAGGATATAATCATAATAAATAAGCCCAGCAAAGATATACTGTTTGGGTCTATACCTCTGCAAATATATACTCAGTAAAAATTAGGACTTCCACAGAGAGCGTAGCAGACAGCAAATTTTGGGAAGTATTAGGTTTAAATTGCCCACCAAAGGGTCAGATAATATCCTATCCTAAAGTCTAGAGTAGATGGCTACTGACTTCAGTGAAGCAAATCCCTTGATCCCTGTGGAATAGCACCTGTTTTAGTCACTGAATGGAACTTCCTGTGAGCAAATGTGTGCTCTGTGTAAGTATAGGTGGCAGTACATTGGGAAAATGACAGAGCCTCCTCTGTGGTAGGAAATTTGCACTCACCAGCAAAAGTGTGACCAGTCGAAAGAACACTGAGCTGGAACACAAGGTAGCCATCCTGACTTTTCCATAGGTAGGTCACCTTGGTTTCCTACAAAAAAAAAAATAAAATAAGTGGGTTCGACATGACCAGTATTTAACTTGCTTGTTCACCTCTACATGCTCCAATATTATTGCCAGAAAGTCCACAATGAGATGTACTGTAGATGCTGAATTCAAAGATTTAGTAAGAAGGGAAAGAAATAGCTGAGGCATGATGGGTCATGCCTATAATACCAGCCATCAGCCACCTGAGCTTTATTTTGAGACCCTGTCTCAACCCTATCCCCCCAAAACAATAAAATACCTTGTTAGCTTTAGAATGTTCATTACATGTTAAAATAATGTTTTAGATTGATGTATTATTAAAATAGATTTTACCTGTAGGTTTTCATACGACTACTGGGAAGCTTTAGCTCACGTATGTGATTCATATTATTTCTATTGAATACTGTTGATCAACATGATTCAATTCTATTAGAAGTCATTTGATTTTGAACTCATTTTTCAGTTGGTTATAAATTAGCATTCACTCATTTGTTTATTTCTATTTCTATCCTCTTTGTTACAAAAATAATTTGTCTGCATACAAAAGTACATGCTTTACAACAGCATAATTTACTTTAAAAGTGAACAGAATAGAGAAAAATAAAAAAGCAAGAGTAAGGTTAGTTCTTAACCTATATTGTTTCCAGCAATACTTTCATAATAGTAGTTTTTGAGTGAAAGACAAAAGCTTAATGTCAAATTGGTTGAGGACCTGAATTCAAATTCTAGCTCTGCCAATTATCTAAGGCAAGTTACTAAGCCTTTCTGTACTTCAGTTTCTTCATATGTAAAGACAGACACACACACACACACACACACACACGAACACACACACACACACACACACACACACACACACACAGAGTCCACAGGTGCCCTCTTCAGATTGTTGGGAAGATTGAAGGGGGCCACACTTAAGTATACTTGAAGTCCTTAATAAACATAAATGGCCATTATTATCATTTATATTTAAAGCAAGCTTTCTGGAAGAGGATATAAAACAGACTATTCTTCATCAATCTGTATTTTCCTAGCAATCTTGTTCATCCAAGGATGACTTTTATAATACCCTGAAGAATGAATGTGCTCTATGGATTATACTTCAAACAATCCTTCATAGGTGGAATTTCTTTCTGAAGCTTTCAATAAATCATGGAATGGCAGTGAGGTTGAGATTGCATCCTTGGCCAAGTACCTGAAGGCAGCTCTGCCATGCTACTGAGCAAGATGAGATCTCTGCTTATTAGTCATCTGAGCTAGGTAGAAACCTGCCCATCTGCAGAATTAGGCATTGAGGGGTGTGTGTGTGTGTGTGTGTGTGTGTGTGTGTGTGTGTGTGTGTGTGTGTAGAAAAAGCCTTTTCTCTAGCAAGCAGGTGCTTCCGTGAAGACTTCTAAATAATGCCAATTCAACCTTACATAAACAGACTTATCCATCCCATAACCATCTCCGTTTTAGTTGCACATAATTTGATTCACTTTTTATTTTAAGTATTTTACATACCTTCAACCTAACAATCTTACATTCCTTACAAGCAAACACTTTTCTATTCTTTAAAAAAAGAAAAAACAGCTCCCAGAAGTCTCAGGTTACATTTTTACCTATGGTGCATCAAAACATCTCACTACCCTTATGTGTTTATACATTAAAAATACAAATATATTGATGCATTGTACTCATAAATTGACATGTTTAATACAAATCCCTCTGTACAACTATTTAAAGATGGGAAAAATAATTATAAATCATAAGAATTATAAGATTATGATTTTATATAAAATATAATAATTTTGTATTATAATTATTAAAATAAAAATTAATAATAATAAAGAGTTTAAGATTGTGAGTTTTAATGGAAAGTAGGACTTAAGTGAAAAGACAAGCCTTAGAAGTTAAATTATGACTTGGGTAGATATTGAGAGCTCCAAAGAGATTTACTCCCCTAGGTCTGTAGTTACATTTTAAGGAGATGAGGGAGCCAACCTTATGATTAAGCTCCTGGAGAGGATCCCAGGGCTATAAAGCCAGAGTTCAAGTCTTAGCATCCTTCTGGAGGTATATATTTATATTCACAAAGACAAGAACTCAAGGTCCTTTCCAAGTTGAATTTATGTAAGTTCAAGGGATAGATTTCTCTCCCTTTCTCTGAGGCACTAGGAAGACAGCTGTCCTTTTCTTCTATAAGCATCAAGATTTATATTTATAGAGTTCTTCACCTCAGAGTATAGACCAAGGTTAGGTTGATATCTGGTTCTCATGCTAACATCCTAGAAAGGGGAAATTGGAGCCTGAGGATTGGGGCAACAACTTTCTGTAAGTAAATAATAATGGAATGTGCTCCAGAAAAAAATTCAATTAGCCTTTAGAATATTAATAAAGTTACTAAAATCTTTTAAGAGTCAGCACAGATGTGAGTTAAAATTCAGGTTACAAGTAAACTCCTCCCTTCTCCTCCCCTTAATTTTGATTCATTAATCCTGAGTACTCAGGATCTGAATCTGAGCAGCTGGACCAGATGGTTCTTAACAGGATTGTTTGGGAAATACTGCACTAGTCCACTATGAGGAATAAATAGCTTCTTACAGGGACCTAGTTGCCTCTGCTAGCACACCATGTGTGTTCAGTTGCTGTGCTGCTTTTCCTAGTGATAGGAAATGAGTAGACCATAGGAGAAAATATATATTATATCATATATTATGAATAATACATATATAGTATATGTCTAGTATATGTCTTATTTAATGTGTGTTATACAATGTGTGTATACTACAAATTGTGTGCATATATGAATATGTATCCTTTATTCATTCAGTTTAGACTTTAGGAGGAAATTAAAGATTGACATATCTCTGGTTGGTCTTTGTTTATCATCTTTAAAGACTACCGAGAAATGCACTATAAAATTCTACATCTAGAATATTGCAGGTGGCCAACAATTTTATTGGCCCAACCTAATAACCTCAATGTTTTACCAAATTTGTACAGACTTCCCTATTTTCTTTAGCTATTCTTATACTCCCTTTAAGTTATATGTTACATAATACAAATATAGTAATATGAATATAATATAAATATAATTACAAGATTCTTTTATATGTATTTTTACCATTTAGGTCTCACAATAATATTTGAAACCACACCAGGAGTTATGCTATTTTATCAATTTAAAACTTAAACTTTGGGTCTGGTGCTCCTATGAAAATACAGATGGCACACCAATAACTTATGTTCTTCTTCAAGTATTATGAGCCCTGAAATTTCCAAACTATTTGAATGTGTTGATTTCTAAAGTCATAGAGGTAGAAACTGAGTCCAGAAAAAGGTAGGCAGGATGCTCTTTATGAGAAAATGTGACTCAAGAGCAGTGGAAGCTAATATGGCACTAGAGGGCAGGAAGGCTGAGATGGTGCCTAAGAGTAGTCCCTGAAAGCCTGTGCCAGCTGCTATTCATATCCATATGCAGTTATTAGGGGCACTTAATAAACTTTCACCATGGCAATAGCCATATGAGAGTAGTGAATTTTTTTTCAGATACATTTAGCTGCCAAAATAAAAAAAAAGGAAAACTATTAAGATTAGTGCTGTGGCCCAAAGTCAAAGTTTTAACTCTATGAAGAAGGAGGATTTCTGTTGCTTCAAACTAAATTGAGTTCTTTCAGAAGTTAGTTCAATAAACCTTTTTACCTTTTCTTTCTCTAATATGCCCATTATTTTTCACACAACAGGATCTTCAGAAGCAGACTGGAAAGCCGGAAAGCCCAGCGACCCTCTGCGTCTCAGGCCTCCACTCGCTCCCCTTGCATGCCTTTCTTGTGGTTTAATGAAAGTCGGAAAGGATCCTATTCCTTCGGGAACCTGCCTTCACCTACCAATCCCCTTCAGCCTTCTCCTGAGACTCTAATTTCAGATAAAACTGGGTCCAAGGTAGAAAAAAAAGCAAACAAGAAAAATCCCTCTTCCTCTTCAGTCTTTTGGAAGACATTCTCCACTTGTGTGTGTCCTCTGGATTCAAGGAACCAAAGTGCTAACCTTGCAATAAGCAATGCATGGTGTTTCTTCTGTGGGGAAAGGAAAACCTCACATAACCATCACCTGCTTTAATACTGTTCATTCTAGATTGTATATGTCTCTGATTTGCCTGTCTTTTCACCTACTTCTGTTTAATCTGTTTGACAGCTATGCCATGCTGGGAAAGAAGCATTTGAATCATGAAATAGTATGATAGATCTGTTTACTAAGTACTCTGCTTTCAATTGCCTTATGAAACTATTTCACTGTGCTCTTCAAGATTTGCCAGAAAAGATAAATTTGGGACTGAATTTGTGTTTGATCACCTAAGTGAAACTCATTAAGACATACATAGCCCCTTAATTTATTCCTTCTTTTCATATCAAATGTCCGTGCTAAATAGCTGTTGTAATTTTGTCATGAGGTTTGTTCAAACTTCACCAGGAAGAATTAGGAACTGAATGCATGGATGTAATTTGTTTGGAAATGCATGATGGTTATTTCCAGCATGACACTGCAAACTTTTTTTCTAACATTTTTATTGATATTCAAATGATAGCTAACTTTCTTACATTGTTAACTCTTTTTTCTGTGTTCACTTTTCTTTCTCACACAGAGCAGGATTAATCTTACTTAAATATAATTATTTTCTTGAGGTCAGCTGTTCAAAGGGTTTAACTGGGGAGTGGGGGCTGGGGTAATGTTTCCACTGATAATACTACATGGTGCTATTCGTGATATTCTGTGTGCAGTGACCTGCTGCGTAAGTGCTCGACTGCTCTACAAAGGATCCTAATGGGAAATTAACAGTCCACCTCCTGAGGAAGTAGAATCTGAAACAAGATGGTGTTGGCCAAGCTCTTAGAGTTCCTGGGAATCCAGACATTCTACAATTGTTAGCAAAAGAAATTTTCACAGCAATAAACCTTTTTTTGCCTTTTAATATCTAATCTAAGACATCTGAATGTTGCTGGAATACTTTTGCTGTTATCCTGTCCTAAAGAGAATCCAAACTGGGTTAAAACAATTTTCATAAATATATCAGGGTTAAATAATTTTAATATCCACTGAATGTGTCAGAGCAGTTCTAGGGAAGGTTTTTTGTTTTTGTTTTTGTTTTTTAACACGCTCCACCTTATACATCTCCCCATCCTCAGGTGATTGGTGGGATTTGTATCTCTTCTGTGACACAGCCTTTTTGGTTGTCTGTTGGTGCTATAAGAGAGTTGAGTTCCAATATGTAACTAGAAGTGCATCACCCGATCTGCCCTGCCCCAGAACTCATTGTCATGAAGGGTACCTCTAAGAGACCATCTGTCACTTCTTACAGTATATCATTGCCACACACACACAAACACACCATCCCTCCCAAGGGTGCTTCGGCTACTTCCCTGATATGAATTGCCACCTGTTCCTAATAATTCAGCCTCTCCACATCATCTCATGTTCTTACTTAACACTGCTGCTCATCATGATTTGGGTCAAGGCAGATAGGCTTATTAATATCACTTCTCTGAGCAGCTGCAGAGGATAATGAATTCTATACCCTTGGAGTAAGATTGAAGAATCATTTCTCTAAAATATCTACTGCTTATCAGATGGAGAAAGTGTCCAGAATTCCCCCATCAACCACAAAAAAAGTGAAGCATCCTCAACCAATGTCTGGTTGAATGTCATCCAAAACAAAGATGAATTTCTTCTAGGACTGCTAAAAGAGGGACATTTGAGAACTTGTAAACATACCTACCTTTGGTTCACTCACTGTGCTCATTTAACACTGAACATGTATTTATTTTTTTTTTACAGAATTTTACCTTCAATGATGACTTCAGTCCCAGTAGTACCAGTTCGGCAGACCTGAGCGGCTTAGGGGTAGAACCCAAAACACCAGGGCTCTCTCAGTCCTTAGCACTGTCATCAGATGAGGTACTTCCATGCAACCACATCAGAATTGCTTTCTCATATCACAGAGTTTACTTATGGCTGGTCACAGGAAACTAACACAGGGTAGATTTTGTGTAAAAGTATCCTCAATTATGGTTTTGCATATAATACAATGTCTTCTTGCTCAGCGTGAAAGCAAAACCTCTGAGCATCTTAAATTTTTTATGGGTGGAAGTATGTGGTGGGAAGGCTAGGCACTGGAAAGCAAAAATGGCAAACAATTCAGACCACATGGGAGTTGACAAATTATGCATTTCCTTTTTACTTTGCCTCCTCACAATCCTCTATACCCCAAGAGTCTAAAATTCCTTCTGAATATGTTAGGCCATAATTATAGCTCTGATAAAGAAGGAAAATAGTCTCCAAGCCACTTATGCAGAAGCGAGGGTCAAGATTAGCATTGCTAGCTGAGCTCATACCTATAATCCTGGCTACTCAGGAGGCTGAGATCTGAGGATCACAGTAAGAAGCCAGTTTAGGCAGAAATATCCTCATGACCCTCATCTCCAATTAACTAGCATAGTAAGCCAGAAGTGATGGTATAGTTCAAGTGGTAGAGCATCATCAACCTTGAGCAAAAATGCTAAGCAAGAACATGAGGCTGTGAGTTCAAGCCCCAGAAGCAAAAAACAAAACAAAGGAAGATTAGCATTGCTAAGCATTAACTGGAGATAAATTGCCTATAGAGAGATAGGAAATTACATTAATAACATTATTGACTTAGATCCCAAAGTGGAAGGCAGGAAACCATGTAATTAAGAAAATTTGTTCCCTTACTTAAATATTTGTTAATATTTTTTTCTTCATAACCTTTCTTTTGTAAAGATTTTTTCTTCCTCATAAACTTTCTGCCCTTATTCTTCAAGTTGAGTATGAGTTTAATATACAAGTGTGAACTATCTATGCTGTGTGTGCTGTTTCTGTAACACTTTTCTTCTTGATTCCCTTATTGCTGTCACTCAGAGCCTGGATATGATCGATGATGAGGTGAGCCATCGGGCTGTGTGTGGTACTTGGATGTCTGAGCTAGCTTTTCTTTCCTTAGGAATGGTTTTAAAACATACAACAAAACAAGAATTCTTTTCTCTATTGTGGGAGGACATCCTATGTTAATTAGCTCCACTCCGCCATATTTGCATCATAGCAAAAAGTTGCTCCTCGATTTATCTGCCTTCACCATTACATTGACATGATCCATTCTGTATCATCCCCTCTGCCTGCATCTCAGCATACCACATCCCTTCTTCTGTGTTCCTCACAGGTGTCACCAAGGTGACTCCTGTCTCTTCCAAGGCCTATCATTGCTTCATGCCCTCAGAATTCAGTGGGTCTAGGAGCTATCCTGCCCCTTTGTACTATTAAAAGGAATATTCTACAGTGGACAGAGCCCAAAATTTGAAATAAACCACTTACAGTTAAGCCCTGCCACCTGTTCACTGTGCTGTCTTGGACAGATCATGTAGACTTTCTGGGCCTCAGTTTTATTTATGTACTAAAAACAATTATGGATATTCTTGCTCCACCTTTCTCACAGGTTTGCTTACTATTCAAATGAAATAATGGTTGTGAATTTTTCCTGAAGATGGCTTGTGGGCTTCATGCTCTCCTCTTCCAAGTGAAAAAGGCCTCCAAAAATCGACTGTGTTTTAATAAAACTCTAATGTCCTGGCAGAGGATAAATGCAGAGTGATGCCTTGCATGCAGAGATCTATGAATTTTCCCTTTTTATACCTGATAATATATCTAGAGTGTTCTAATGTAAAAGCTTGCAACATTAGAGTGTATTTTTTCTGCAACAGTAAACTTCCTACATTAACAATTATGCTTTATTTAGGGGATTTTTAAATTTCCATTTCAAACAATGTAGGTACTCTGTGTGTTTCTTTTTAACACAACTTGAACCATTATCATATTAAGTATGGCTCTAGTAGGTTATCAACTACCTTTTGCTAGCATAATAATGAGCCATGGCATTTTAGTCCTTTAACAATGCATAACATTCCTATCTCAGATCCTTGATGATGGACAGTCTCCCAAACACAGTCAGTGTCCGAATCGGGCCGTTCATGAATGGAGTGTGCAGCAGGTTTCTTACTGGTTAATGAGCCTAAATCTGGAGCAGTACGTATCTGAATTCAGTGCCCAAAACATCACTGGAGAGCAGCTCCTGCAGTTGGATGGAAATAAACTTAAGGTAAAGAATTATATATCTGTGTTAGGTTACTAAGTATAATTTGCATTACTCGGCACCTAAACTGTTTTCATTAGGTACTTGCACTCTGCATACCTGACCTATAATTCTCATCAACAGCAGAAAGGATGATGAATTCTTTCTGAATAGGAAATTAAGTTTCAGGAAGTCCCTCAAGGGTTCTGAATTAAATGGTAATCTGCCGATTAGAAGAGAGCTAGGATCCCACTCCATTGCTTCACCTGGCAACACATGGCCCGTATATTAACTCTATTTATTTCACATGTAGTATGAGTTGTATTGATGGCTCATGTGGACCTTTCATCACATTTGTGAAGATGCAGGCCCTGACTCCTCCCCTCCTTACTCATTTCTTCTTCATGTCTCCTCTTCCCTACATACCATTCCAAAATGGACTGATGTTCTTTCCAGAACTTTCTTTCCCAAATATATTCAAGGCCATATCTTCCTTACCCTCCATCGCACTCTCATTCCCACACATCCAGCCCATCTCTTAAGAGACTGGCATGGCACCTATCCTGTGGAAAAAGGCAAAAGGAGCATATAGTCAGCTCCACCACCCCTCCCCACTGTCCCAAACCCCTGTGAGGCTGACAGGTAGATGAGTACCTCTTGACAGTCTTGAAAAGGTTAAAGATCAATCAATAGCCTGTGAATATGAAGGCCTCATCGACAAGGCTGTCCCTGTTGGGGAGATGGATGCATCCTGCTGTTGATTCTGAAGGTCATGAAACATTTAAAGTATGTAACCAACTCCCCTTATTCTGAATTCCCAGCTCATTGACTAACCTCATTATAATTGGGCTTTCTTTATTGGTCTGCCAACAGAAAGAGAATGGCCAGTCATACTGACACAGTCATTCTGGCCCCAAAGACATTTTTGGTTTTCATTGTAAATGAATACACTGGCAGAAGGGAAGCCATTTCGGTTCTTCCTGCCTTTTTTTGGAGCCCTCTGTAGCAGCAGGTGCTGACTCCTACCCTTTGAAAATATTGATGTGTTTGTAATTATTTTGCCTCTAAATGTCTATAGCCCAAAGGTTGGAGTAGAATCATGCCCTTTTCCAATTCATTTACTCATTAAAAACCAATTTGGAAAGGATTTTCTTAGATTCTAAGGTATACTTAGAAGGGACTTCAAAGAACAAAGCACAGACTTCCCTCTCCCCTACACATAATTTTTTTTTCAGCAAATGTAATCTACTTTCCTTAGTTCTTCCTCTTTCATCTACATTTAAATTCATTTATGAGTTTGAACATACTGTGATAGTTACCTCATGAGCAGAAAGTCATCAGATTTACAAGTTCAGTGTGCATGCTTCCTTCATAGGCTCTTGGAATGACATCATCCCAGGACCGAGCAGTGGTCAAAAAAAAGCTGAAGGAAATGAAGTTGTCTCTGGAGAAGGCACGGAAGGCCCAAGAGAAAATGGAAAAACAAAGAGAAAAGTTGAGGAGGAAAGAACAGGAGCAAATGCACAGGAAGTCCAAAAAGGCTGAAAAGATGACATCCACTGCCACAGAGGGCGCTGGTGAGCAGTGAGTCTCGCCCATTCTGCTGAGTGCGGATGCTCAAGAGAAGTCCCACCTTTTCCTGCCCCATTCTCCTCCAGAGCATGAAGAAGAAATTGACCACAAGGGTAATACTGCTGTAGGCAGATTGAGGAACTGTGTGTTGAATGACTTCATTTTCTGCAATAATAGAATGCACTCTTAATTTTGATCTCCTAAAATAATCCCAAATTGCTTTTGATTTATTGACAAATGAAAGATCTCATTTATGAGAGAGGCAAAATAGCTGTGATTCTTTCTTCTACTTAAGAATATCTGGTGTGTTGGGTGTGTTGTGCCACTTGGAGGACCAGCATGACCGCACCAGCACAACACACCCAGGTTTGTTAGTGAATTTTCAGTGTGGACTCTGAAATGGGTCAGTTGCATCTATCTGTGTGAAGAGTGCACTTGCCATGAGCCATAGGAGCCATATTCACTCCCAGGGCTTCTGAGGCTCATCTAGTATGTGGGAAAGGTTCCCCACAATTGTGTGTGGACAGAAAGACAAGCCCACTGTGGAAACTTGAGGGCTCAGCCCAATGATTACCTACTGAGATAAAAAAAAAAAAAAGTACATTGTTCTACTATCCATCAGAAAAAGGGGAAAAAAGTCATAGCTATCTATGAATTACAAAAGAGAGCAAATGCCTAAGAATGTGGATGTGGGTATGCTTTGAGGTTCTGAGGGTACCATTTCTCCTCCAGCTACTCCTGAATGAAAAAGAAAACGTCATATCTTAAGACAGCTCTGGGGATGCTAGGATCTATTGTTTACTTTGCAACACTGACAAACACAACATGGTTCCTTACTTCCCTCAAATCCACAAACTGAACAGAAAAATGGATTTTTAAGGAAGCCAGCATTTTCAGGTTTCTTCTCCTGGGGAACATTCTGGCTGGGCCTCAGCTTGCCTGTGATACAATCAGGAACTTGTCACACATTTTCTCCTCTCGGTTCCCCAAGTAAGTTCAGTTAGGATTTTAACAAATGTAATTTTAAGGAAAAATAGAAATACCAGTTAAGGAGATTACAGATTTAAGTGACATTCATCTGAACACACAGAATGTTCCTGTAATGGAGAGCTGTCACTCACATTTTAGAGGTATTTTGAATGGTTTTTCTGAGACATTCTTTCCTTATACTAGAGGTTTTTGTTTTAGAGTTAAAGTTTGTTTGTTTAAGGCAGTACATCAGATTCACTACCAATGGAAGAACAAAAGCTTATTGTAAATCTGGTATTAAGGATTTCAGTATTTCATCAATTTAAATTGAATGCAGGAGACTGGGGCAGGAAGAGGAGAACATTAACCCATCTTGAGAAATTTCTAATGATTAGGGTTTTTTTTCCCTTTATCTTTCGTTTTGCTTTTTATGCTCATGTGTCTTTCTTTTTCTGCATTAGCTCTAAAGATGAGGTCATCTACTTTCTAATGGATGGACAAGTGTCAAAGTAAGACTAGAGGCCAGATGAATTCTTGGACAAGTATTTAACTTCCTTTATATTTTATAGGGTCTTGGTTCTGTCCCCAACACTGCCCATATCTCCACTGCAAGTGTTCTGTTCGCAGAGCTTGGGGACCGCTCTTGAGTATTACAGATAACAGAAATAAAAGGGGTCTCCTGCCCATATAGCCCTACCTTGTATTTTTAACATTGTGATTTTATTGTTCTTATAGTATAATATCCAAGTTCTGAAACTGTTGGAAATTGAAATTTACAATCCTATTCTTTCCCCACAAGGCCTGTTTCCCATTTTGGATCACAGAGTTGTCTGCTAAGCTCCAATCCTTTTGTTACTAGGTTAGAATCATTCATTCCATTTTCAGAAATGTTCAGGCAGGCTACTATTGTACTTTGCAACATTCAGCTCTCTATTATACTTTTCTGTTTTATTTGGGTATGATCCTAAAACTGCCATCCTGGGTACCTGTATCTTGAGATGTTGGTGCTTTGCTATTTATTACTATCGTAAGAAATCAGGAGCTACTGTTAATGAATTACAAAATTCAACAAACTTTTCCTAATGCTAGAAGACAAATTCGGTAAAAATCTGGTAATATTAGTGCTTGCTATGTAAATTTTTGCCAGTTTTGTTTTGCTTTGGATTAAAAAAACTAACCTGAATTACACTGGAAGTTTCACTGTTTGTTGTATTCATATCAGAAGAGCAAATGGAAGAATGATTATTTTAAGTTATGTTTACATTTGGGTAATATTTGAAAATGAATGTATATATTGAAAATATCCGTTAAGTGTCTGTCTCTACCAATAAGTTATGATCTATTGTATTGCATCTCCTTAAATGTCTTAGTATTGTTCTTTACTATAACTATATTTGAACACTTGAATAATTAGATCATTGTCCAAATGACAGTGTTGAAAATCACATTCTAATTCCTAAAATCATTTAGTTTATAACTGTTTTGATTTTTTAAAATTAAATTATAGTAATTTTAGGCATAAATGAGTTATATTAACATTACTACTTAAAAATACTGAAAGGATTCTTGATTTGATTTTCCAATAGAATATAAGGTATAAACTGACACAGGGTATGAAAACAGATGGACCTCAGATCTTGTGAGCATTTTGCTTTCCTGTTACTTCTTTTATTGACTATAGTGCATGATGACAATTCCTATTTTAATGCTAGTAGTTTTCAGTGTTCATACAATTTAACATGAATTGTTTGTTTCATGTTTCTTTAAAGATTAGAGCTTTTTATTAACAGAAATTAAATAAGAAAGGGTCTATATGGTTACTACGAACTATATTCTAGTAAAGGATAGCTCAGTCTGATTCCAACAATAGCTAATGGAGTTTGGGGGTATAGGTAATGCTTTGGAAGGAGAAAGTATGTGGTAAGGTTAAGTTATACACAGAACATTAGATGAGCAATAATTGGATCTGGGTTTCAATTAAAGAATACTATAACTGATTGAGACCATCTCCTTTAAAAGTCCCTCACAGTTATTGTTTCTCTTTTCTTTCTTCTTTCCTTCTGCTTTGTCCCTCCTTCCCTCTTTCTTTCATTTGTTTTCTTTCTCATTCATTTGCTTTTTCTTTCCCTTCCTTCCTTCCTTCCTTCCTTTCTTTTCTTTCTTTCTTTCCCAAAATCAGAACTGTGTTCAAGTTGTCAGTTAGAGCTAAAACCACCCTTTATCTATTTTTAATACTCTGATAAAGTCTCTTTATCACAACAGTGAAGCTATTGTGGCTATCTTACTTCCGCTGCAGTTAGCTCTCCAATTCTCCCACAGCCTTTTTAGCCATAAGAGTTCATGATTGCAGTATGACAGCTACTGTGCCAAATTCAGCTTTCAACTGGCCCAAATAAGAATATTACTTTGTTGGGAACCAAGTCGCAAGAAGAAAAGTAGGGACACTGTCTGTAACCCTGCAGTCATTTATCCTAAAATTCTAAAATACCCCATACCCAAGCTACAATAATGAAAGAATGTGACTTGTTTGATCTTGAAAATCAGCCACTATGACTTTTTATTTCTAGGATTAAAACTCACTGCCTCATGCTTGTTAGGGAAGAACTGCTGAGTCAAACATCCAGCCCTGTTATGCACTGGTTATTTTTAAGATAATGTTTTATTTTCTGTCTGGGTATAATATCTGGACCATAATCTCTATTTAGGCTTCACATCATAGCTAGGATGACAGTTACATACCCACAGCCAGATAGGGGTTGCATAGGAGTTTCAGGGGGAACTTTTCTAACTGGACTGGCTTTGAACCACAACACTCCCAATCTCAACCTCCCAAATATGTGGAATTACAGGTAGGAGCCACTGGTGCCTAGCTCTTCTTGACTTTTGCTGATTTCAAAGAATTTTCATAGAAGTTCTTTGTGCAGTAGGATTGACATGTGCTTGAAAATTATACTTTATAAAAGGTAAATGAGCCAGGCACTGGTGGCTCATGCCTGTAATCCTAGCTAGTCAGGAGGCTGAGATCTGAAGATCACAGTTCTAAGCCAGCTGGAGCAGGAAAGTCTGTGAGACTCTTATCTTCAATAAACCACACAGAAAACTGGAAGTGGCGCTGTGGCTCAAGTGGTAGAGTGCTAGCCTTGAGCTGAAGAGCTGAGGGACAGCACCCAGACCCAGAGTTCAAGCCCCACAACTGACAAAAACAAAAAGATAAATGAAAATTTGCAGTGTACAGATATTCTAAATCATCTATAAGCAGGAATTTTTAAAGAGAATAAGCATAGGGAGGACCACTGATTTTTAACAGTAGTATTCAGGATAAGTCTGGATAAAGTTCCAACACTGGTAAAACAATCGTCTATCCATTGCCTGTGTGATGGCTCTTTTGTTACACTTAGATATTTAAGAATTGCCAAATTCCACTTGAGTAACCACATACTCCCAACAGAGCTAGAAACAAAGAGCACTTCACTGTGGTGGATAGTGGTCACTAGGATTCACATCACCTACTTCAAATGCTGGCATCCTGGTGTTCTCTGTGTTTAAAGGCAAGCTAGAAATGAAAAGCCCTGCTTCTCTTCTTTTCCAATTTACCTTCAACAGAGTATGCAGTTCTAAAGGTCTGCAGTTAAAGATGAGGTTCAGAAGTAAAATTCCTATTTTCTTACCAGGATTGTTCTCATTATAGTTGGGCAAGCAAGAGTGTGAATTTTCAAAAGAAATCAGTATTATAGGAAAACGGAATGTGCTTCAGTGCTTCATTTTCAAAACAAACCAGTGTGTTGGCATATTTTGTTTGCATTTGTCTTGAGTATTTAAAATCTCAGGAGATAGAGTCTTGATTCAAAACACTGGGGAGGAAACACTAAACAAAACACATTTTAATAACTTGAAGTAACAGCATAGAATAGGCTGAACTGAGAAGCTACAAGAAAAAGGCTGTAGAATAAATTTCATCCTAGAAAGTAAAAGCAAGTTCTACTTAACCATAGGGACTTCCTATGCCTCTACCATAGGTCTCTGTATAAATTGAGGGAGAGAATGCTTGTTGCTTGAAGGCTCATGTATGTAAGTGTATGGCGTGTAACCTATTTCCAGATCCTTAAAGAAGGAAAAAAACATGATGCTTCCTAATCCTTGGCTTTACCCAGACCCCAGACAACTAGGGATTCAGCAATGAATAAAGCAAGGAATAAAACAACAGCTGATAACTTCTCAATAGCGTGCATGCCACTTGTGTAGATGTTCAGAACTATAACATGCGAGTGTATCTTCCACCTTACACAGACATTTACTGGAACCACATAGCATAAAATACATTATATATGGAATTTGGTGATGTCAGGTGGGACCCTGTGCTGTAATCATAGCCTTATTGCCACTTTTTGTGTTGTGCATACTTTGAATGGCACATAAATTTTAAGAGATTTTCTTTCATTGTTCTTATTCAATGCACTTATGCTTCTACATGTTTATATACTTTGGCAGAATTGATTTATTAGACACTTGGTATTTTAGTAAGGTAAAATTTCCTCAAATGTTTGGTAAATGTTTTGATGTCAACATTACACCTTTTTAAATTAGAGTTCAGGAGAGATGGTTGTATCTTCAACTGCAAACCTAAATTTTCTTCGCTAAAAATTGCACTATGTGTTTTTGTGTGGTAGCTCACACCTCTGAAATGACATAATACCTAACTTGGGATGCTCAAGTAACTAACTACTGGCTCTCTGATGGTAATGTTGTCATCGCATGACCATTTATTTACTTCTTATCTTGAATAAGGCATTTTGATTGTCACCAAAAATAATGCAAGTGGTGTGAGTATATGTTGTTGGATGGTATACTCTTCTATTTCTTTTTGCTCTTTTATTCACGCATCTAGAATTTTCAGTTAAAGATTGAGTCATTTAATCTTTGTTCATTCATGAAACAACAGCTGGCTAAAAATACTTAGAATTACTTACTAAAATGTGGGAAGAGGTTCTTCAGCTCGATAATACCTCCAACAACATCAAATTTAGTTAGTGCTTAGTGAATTTCCTTAAGTACATATGTATCTGCTCTCTTTAATATTGTTTGATATCATAACAACTGCTTTTGTGTTTTAATGGTGTTGCTATTAAACCACTAATACACCTGCTACATATGATTAAGAAGACTGGGCAGCTGAAAACTAAAAGGAGAATAAAATTTTATTCTATTGTAGGAATCAAATTAGTTTTCATCTTTCTTTATATATCTCTAAAGGAAAACAGTTGTCCGAAAATCATTTTGAATCTGTTAAGTATGGGTAGCATGTTACCTGAAACTTTTAATTTGTACATTTTGATGTCTGAGCATTTGCATGGAAGAGACAATAGTGCCATGTCTGAATTGTTCTCTTGTGCTTGGTCATTATGATGTAACGTTATAAATGACATTCATTACTCTTTGGTTTGGTTTCCAAAGGCATTTGAAGCAAAATATAACAGTGGTCCTTTGTTTTATGACCAGTTGAAACATACCTGTGATTACATTTAATTTGTTATTGTAAATACATTTCTTGCCAATGAGTATTATTGTTGTTAGACAACGAATGCAATAAAAAAGAGAAATACAGAGATCTGTCAAAGTAATTCTTTTTTCCTCTTCCATTTTCACCTTCAAATAAAACAAGCCTTCACTGGGTAAACCTGTATTAACTGTCAAAACGTATCTATCAATCAAGAGCAAAGTGCACATTTTTCATGGAAATGAAACTAAAAATAAGTTTTAACTCAGGTAAAGTGTAAATTGTCAGCTAGAATTACACTTGAAAGCCCAATTATGGAACTGGGCATAAAGTTAAAAGATCAAAGCCCTTCAATTGGAGTTACCTCATACTTGCCCATCTTTTTGGTCCCCAGTTGCTGCTTTACATCAGTACCAAGAAGCCAGGAAAAGGTCTGTGACAAGTCCATTAAGCAGTCATCCCCATAGAGTGAGGGATGAGTTAGGAAAGCCTCCGACCCATCCTGAAACTCAGGGTTATTTTCAACAATCTTGTTTCTAAGACCATCAAAATTCAGAAGACTTGGACATAACGAATGAATAACATTAATTTCATTCTTTCTTACTGGCAAACTACATCTGTTATTAAACCTTTGGCATAGCAAGATTTTGAATAAATGAAACCTGGATTCCTCATTCTTTGATTTCTTACCAAAAGGTGTCGCTTTTTGAGTGATCTTGAATGTATGCTATGTGAAATCAATAGAGTTTATTTTTTTCAGAATCTGCTTAGAAATAACAAGAAAGTAAAACCGATTATTTTATTACAGATGTTATGAAGGCTTACTCAAGAGATTCTCTCCGGTGGCTCACACCTGTAATCCTAGCTACTCAGGAGGCTGAGATCTGAGAATCAAGGTTCAAAGCCAGCCCAGGCAGGAAAGTCCGTGAGACTCTTATCTCCAATAAACCACTAGAAAACTGGAAGTGTCACTGTAGCTCAAGCGGTAGAGCGCCTACCTTGAGCTGAAGAGCTGAGGGATAGGGCCCAAGCCCAGAGTTCATGCCCCACGACCACCACCACCAACAACAAAAAATACATGAGATTGGAAATTTTTTTCTGCACTACACTCATTGATCATTATCAGCAATATCTCAGTGTCTAGTTTCCTGGATTGGGAATACAACCATCACTGAATCATTAAGCACCTAGAGCAATCCGACATTTTGTATTGAACTATGACTAAAATAATTTGACTCTTGATTGAGAAAAGGTAGCCTTTTTTTTGCTACTATGAAAGAGAGGTTTTAAATAGGAGTTCTCAACTTACCAGCAAAAATTTTCCCCTAAAGGGCAGAACAAAATAAAAATGGCCTCCCTGCCTGGTGCCGGTGGCTCTCGTCTATAATCCTAGCTGCTCAGGAGGCTGAGATATGAGGATCATGGTTTGATCCAGGCAGGAAAGTTTTGTGAGACTCTTATCTCCAATTAGCCACCAGAAAACTGGAAGTGGCACTGTGGCTCAAGTGGTAGAGCACTAGCCTTGAGCTGAATGGCTCAGGGACAGTGCCCAGGCCCAGAGTTCAAG